AGATTTTTAGGCTTATTATCTCCCAAACTTGGAACACCAGCAAATAATGATCTGCCTTCTCCTCTTGATTCAGCCAAAACCAAAAGAAGTGCTCCTATTAATGCCAAATTTCTAAATAGAAATGTTATATCCCAGAAAATATTGTAAGCTAATGTCTGAAGAACGACTATGAAAAACAAGATTCCACAAGCAATGCTGACTTTCCATCTTCCGATAACCATGACACACCCACCAAGTTGTCCAATTAAATTAACAAAGACAAATACTGTAGCTAAGAAGCTACCACAATGCCAACTATTGTTCATAAATTCTTTTTGCTCTGACCATTGAAACCACATTCTTAATCCATCTTCTAGAAATGTAGCTATGAGACAAAGTCTTGCAAGAGTTGGCAGTATATGCTTTCCATTGCGAATTACCTATTAGTAAAAAATAATAATAATTAGAATTATATATTATACTTAAAAAATAAGAATGTATTTATATATTAAAAATTATTTACATAAGTTTTTATATCTTTTATTTTATCTTATATTTTATATTGAATATTTTCTATTACTAAAACAACTAAAATAAGCATATAATAACATTAAAAAAATGAATGTTTTTTTATAAAGATTAATGAAAGTGAAAAAAATATTATATAAATAAAGAAAAATAAAATAATTATAAAAAGTTAATATCTTCCTAAACATATAAACAAATTTTTATTCGTTAAATTTATTTTAACTAAACAATAATATAAATTTTATTTTGATCTCATTTTGATATGAACATGGTATTTGTAATATATAAATTCCCTAACCTTTAATTTTTTAGGGTGCAAACATTAATATAAGAAAGTTTACAATATTTAATAATATTATAGAATCTTTATATCAAGAAATAATCAAGAAAATAAAAAATTAAAATTAAAATATGTGAATGTAATATACTAATCGTAACACGATGACGTTGACAGGAGTACACCTGTGTTCCTGTAGGAATTTTGCTGGTCTTTTGTTATGAATTTCTGAACGTGAAATTAAAATTATTCATAAAAAAAAAATAAATCGAATGCGATAATCCATAAATTTACCTGATCTGCGATTTCTTCCGCTTTTGAGATTACCTCCTGCGAGATTAGCATCTTGTTTTATTTAAAAATCAAAAAGTATCCATACACTTACATATACACACGTGCGCGCACGCAAGTGATACTGATAGAAACGAGTAGACAAAGACAGAAAAGGAGAAGGAGAGAGGGAGAAAATTGGAGAAACACGGAACAAATAACCTTACCGCTCAGCACAATTGTGTAAGCGGTAGTAAGTATTCTTGCAACTCTTCTGAATGATGTGGAGATCGAGGTACGCGTCACTTCCGGCATACGTGGTCAGTACAATTTATTTCATGGTCTTTTTAAAAGTACAAAGATCAACTACTTAAATTATATTTTCTTTTAATTTTCTTAAAATTTTCTTTTATTATATTCTTTATTTTTTTTTATTTTCTAACACATTTCTTTTAAGAACAATATTTCTTATTTCAAATATTTCAAATTGGATAATAAAATTATTCTTTAACAAAATTTAAAAAATCTTTAAGATAAATTTTGATAATTTTAAATGAAATAATATAGAATAATTTGTTTGGGCTAATAATATAATTGATAAATAATTTTGTATTTTATTTGTATTTTTTTATCTTTTTATTACAATTCAATAATTTTGTTTATTATCTTAATATTTTAATTTTTTATTTTATTTATCTACAATAAAATATAATTTTGATAAAATATGAAATTCGCACTTATTTTTAAATTGAAAATGTGTATGTATATATATATATATATATA